ATTCCTTTGTTCCTCCTCCGTAAACCAGCACAGTAGTTGCTGGTATAAAATTTTTATTAATTTATTGTTTTTCTCAAGTACTTTATCCCAGATATTTTTGTCATGACTAAAGCCTGTTTTCCCGTCTTCTTTGAATCCCAATAAAAGTTGGTGGTATTGGAGCCAGGTTAATTTGGGGGCTAGTTGTTTTACTTCTTCCAATGTTTTTAGCTCATATTTTCCTTCCGTCTTTTTATTTAAGATTTGGTTATAGGTGAGCCAATTCTCTTCTCCAAGTTCTCTCCTGTGTCTCGCTTCCATTGGCGAAATCCATAGTGGTACCTTCGTGTATAATCTCGTTCTGTATCTTTCCCAAGTTTTTATAAGGGCCGCCCTAACATAGTGATTATTGAAATTCTTTTCAATTTTTCTTTTGCCATACCACATATATCCGTGCCATCCGACTCTCAGGTCGTGGCCTTCTAAGTTCAATAATTTGGTATCTTTTAGAGTCGCCCAATCTTTGATTCCCACCAAGTTACATGCCTCGTAATATATTTTAAAATTTGGTAGTCCTAAACCCCCTCTTTTCTTTTCATCTGATAAAATTTTGATACTAACTCTAGCTTTTTTGTCTTTCCATATAAATTTAATGATATCTGAATTCCATTTCTTGAAGAGATAATCGTTTCTAATGATTGGCAGTGTTTGAAAAAGGAATAGTAGTTGTGGTAGAATTTTCATTTTAATTATGGCAATTCTGCCTAGGAGTGAGAATTCTTGGTGTTTCCATTTTTCTAAATCTTTTTTTATTTTTCTCCATAAGGTTTCGTAATTATTCTTTATTAATTTTGCGTTACTTTGCGTGATGTATACTCCTAGGTATCTTACCTTTTTCTCTACCTTCATCCCTGTAATCTCTTGCAGGGTATCTATTGCTTTTTTACCCATGTTTTTGGTTAATAATTTGGATTTTTGTTTATTTAATTTGAAACCGGCTAATCTGCCGAATTTGTCTATTTTCTCTAGCCATAGTTTAATATTTTCCAGTGGATTTTCTATTATACATACCATATCATCAGCGTAAACTCTTGTTTTATATTGGTGTTTTAAAATTTTCATTCCCTTTAAGTCATTATCTTTATTAATGTTTCTAATTAAGATATCCATTATCATGATGAAAAGGAGAGGGGATAAAGGACATCCTTGTCGGGTTCCTTGTGTTATTTGAATTGGTTGACTAACTTCTTGACCATTTAGTATTATGTTTGCTTCCTGTATTGTATATATCGAGTCAATAGCGTTTCTGAAGTGATATCCCATGTCTAATTCCCCTAATAGTAGTTTTAGAAAGTTCCAATTAACCCTATCAAAGGCCTTCTCTGCATCTATAAAGAGAAGTGCCATCTGCTTCTCGTTATGGACTTCGTAATATTCTATAGTGTCTAATAGAATTCTCGTGTTGTCTTTAATTTGTTTGCCTGGTAAAAATCCGGCTTGTTCTGAGGATATCCATTCTTTTAGGAAACCCTTTAATCTTTCTGCCATAATTAGAGAAAATATTTTATAGTCTGTATTCAATAATGATATCGGTCTGTAATTTTTTATCTCCAAGGGGTTTTGATTCATATTATGAATTTCGATTCATATTATTGGTTAAATAATATATATATATATATATATATATATATATATATATAAATAAAATAAAATTAATAAACAAGTAAAATAAAATAAAGTACAAAAATATATAGATATTGACATATTGACATATATATAAAAAATAAATTAACAGATTAAACCAAGAAAATAGAGACATTAGGGTGGATTTATTGGCTCACTGAGTGGATAAGACCTCTGGAATAAAATAGGGCATGAAAACGACGACAGCTTAACTACACAACAAGAAGAAAACAACACTAGCGGAGAGAGAGAGAATTAAGAAAACATAGTTATACATAAACATTAGAAATTAACTAACTCAAAGATGCAAGGTAACAAGAGCAAATCAGCACAACAGGCCAGGTTACTGACCAAAAGAGACTCCCTAACGGACGAGACTATTCCAAAAGACACTAAAGAAACCAAAGAAAATAAGGAAAATAAAGAGACAGGCCTTAAAGATATACTGGCGGAAATCTTGAAACTCTCAGATAAACAGGACAGGCAACATAAAGAAATCTATGAAAAACAGGATAAGCAACACAAAGAGATGCAAGCAGAAATACAGAAAATGAAAAAAGACCTGAAAGAAGATATAGCTAAGATACAAGAAGATGTGGACAAGATGAAAAAAGAGAACCAAAAAATTACCCAAATCCAAGGGAAAATGGAACACCGGATAAACAAATTAGAAAATATAACACAAAAAACACAACAGCAGATAGAGCTATTGGAACACAGGGAACTTGAATATCAATTAAGGATAAGAAATTTAGCGGAATCAAAGAACGAAAATGTAAAGCAAATTTTGATTGAATTGTTGGCAGAGCTATTAGATGTTGAAACAGAAACCATCGGCCAGGACGTCGATAGAGCGTATAGAGTCCCGACGGGATACGCAAGGAAAAACAAAACTCCCAGAGACATTGTACTGACTTTCTGTAGGAAGAGTACAAGAGACGAAATTTTGAAAGAAAACTCCAAAAAATCGGTATATTATAAGGACCAGAAAGTGACGATTATGAAAGAGGTATCCCAGCAAACTCTGGCAAGGCGAAGGAAATACACTTTTTTAACGGATGAATTGATTAAAAAGAAAATCAAATTTAGATGGGAGAAAGTGGAAGGTATCTCTGTCACGCTAAATGAAAAAAGATTCTGGCTAAACTCAGAGGAAAAGGCAAGAGCTTTTTATACGGATTTCATAAAAATCAAAATTGATGGCAATACATCCCGAAAACAACGTAAAGACTCAAAGGGAAACCTAGAGAAAACAACAGAGGCGGAAGAAGAAGATGACGCCGAAAAAATAGGTAAAATGAAGAAAAGCCTAGAAGAAAGAGAAAAGAAAAGACTACGTGAATTTTCCCCCGAAAATTACCAACTGGTACTTCCCCAAGATGTGACACAGTGGGATATGCCCGAAATGCCAGAAAACTCACATGAACAAGGACACTAAAATATACTCAAATAATTTAAATGGAATAAATTCCCCAAATAAAAGAAAGAAAATATTCAATTATTTAAGACAAAAAAACCTGGATGTAATAGCACTCCAGGAAACCCATATTGCCAACAAACATGTCAAATATTTAGTACAAGGAAAATTAGGAAAAGAGTTTTATGCCTCCTGTAATCAAAAAAAAAGAGGGGTGGTAATATATGCGAAGGATTGGCTCAACCCCCGGCAAATTTTTAAAGATGAAGAAGGTCGATATATCGGAATACTAATTGAAATAAAGAATTTAAAAATCTTGGTCTGTAATATTTATTGCCCAAATGGCCCAAAAGTGAAATTTATGAAGGACCTGAAAAAAGAGATTGAAAAATGTGACTATAATGAAGTTATACTTTTGGGGGATTTCAATGGGGTGGTTGAATTAAATTTAGATAAAACATATGGTACTACGGATAGGCCCAAAGGGAAAAGTAAATCCAGTTTATTGCCAAAAAATTTCCTGCTTCAATTAGAGAAACTTTACCTGAAAGACATCTGGAGACATCACAAAGGAATGATGAAGGATTATACCTTTTATTCAGGTAGGCATAGATCATGGTCACGTATAGATATGGCCTGGTCAACAAATTCATTGATAACCAAGATTACTAAAATTAAAATTTTACCAAGACTTTTCTCAGATCACTGTGCATTAGAATTCACAATAAAAGGAGAGATGACTATACACAAATGGAGATTAGGAGACAGTCTACTGAAGAAAGAAAAAGATATTGAATTAAATAGGAAACTTTTAACTGAATACTTAGAGAATAACAAGGGGGAAGAAACCTCAAAAACAATACAATGGGATGCTATGAAAGCCGTGATGAGGGGCTACCTCATACAACAAGAGGCAATTCACAGAAAGAATAAACATAAAGAAATAAAAGAACTAACAGAAAAAATAGGCAAAACAGAAGAAACTTTAAAAAAGAATCCTAAGAACTCCAAAATAGCCTTTAACTTAAAAGCGCTGAAAAAGCAATTTCAATTATTGCAAACAGAAAAACTAGAAAAAACAGCTGAAATATACAAAAGCTAATTACTTCCAAAATGCTAATTGTTATTGCATTTTCATTGTAATTGTTGGCATCGAATTGTACCGGATGTAAGCCACCCTGAGTCCCCCCTAGAGGGTGAGAAGGGCGGGGTAGAAATGCCCGAAATAAATAAATAAATAAATAAATAAATATACGAGCAGGCTTTCCCAAATGCAGTGTAGCTATTAAACTCTGATCTCGGAACGGTTGGACAACGTGACTGGATTATGACTGGTAATGAAATGCGGAGGACTTATGGTTTTTATTGTTTTTACTTATGTTAATTGTAATGAATTTTTTACCCATGTTAAATGTTTTTAATGTTTAAATTATTTTTGTACTGTTGTGGGCATCAAATTGTGCTGTTTTGTAAACCGCCATGAGTCGCCCTTGGGCTGAGAATGGCGGTGTAGAGCATAGTAAATAAAATAGTAAATAAATAAAAAGGTCATGGGGCTCTGTGTGCCAAGTTTGGTCTTGATTTGTCTTTGGTGGGTGGTTGCCCAAGCGTTTTAAAGTACTACAAATCCCATAATCCATGGTCCACCCTCCCCCCCCAAACCGCACCAGGACGTAAAGTGTGTCATGGGGATTATGTGTGCCAAATTTGGTCCAGGTCCGTCGCTCATGCATGTCACAGTGGCCTGTGAAAGTGGCAGCCAATCAGAAAGCTGCCACATGCATACACCGCCCTCCCTCCTGCCGCATACAAACGCATAGATGTCTAACAAAGTGAATGTGTATAATGTGGGATATATGCAATTGCCTCTACACTCTAGATGCAATAAATTGCTGTGCCATTCCCTCTGTTCTCTCTGTAGTCTATGGTAGGATCAGATATAGCCGAGCTGCTGATGCAAGACTGCAAGCACCGGGAAAGATACAAAAGACAAGACCCAGTGGCGAATCTAATCAGCCTGACGGATGAAGAGTGGCCAGTGCAGGGCTGTGGGACCACAGATCTTCTCACAGGAGAGGTTGTCTCAGGTGCTGGTACACCACAGCAAAAAGTGGAAAAGTTCACCCAACTCCTCTTCTATGGCAGAAAGAAAGTAAGCGGAACAATCATGCTTTCCATAGTGTCGAAGGCTTTCATGGCCGGAATCACTGGGTTGTTGTAGGTTTTTTCGGGCTATATTTCCATGTTCTAGAGGCATTTCTCCTGACGTTTCGCCTGCATCTATGGCAAGCATCCTCACTACCTCTAGAACATGGCCATATAGCCCAAAAAAACCTACAACAACCCACTTTCCATAGTGCTCTTTCTGCATGCAAACAAACAAACAAAACAAATACACAAACACTTTGCAATGTAACATAAAAGCAGCCACTGTAGTATCAAATGAGTACACATGCATATAGGTGTGTGTGTATGTGTGTGTTTAAGAGAGACAACTATCATAAAATGAATTACAGCATTTAGAATGTTTTTATGATGTGAAGTCAATTTGAGCAAAGTGCTTTTACAAGGAGTTCTACATTAAATGATTGCTTGTCAGGCTTTCTGGAAAGCATTACCTAAATGCAAAGTAAATAGCTTGTACTAGTTAAAGCCCTGCCCAGTTTGGACAAGAGAACCATGTTTTGCATGCCGAAGGTTCCAATTTGCATTCTGATATTTTAATTAAGGGAATTCACTTTGTAGGCCTGGGAAAGATATCAGCCTGAGAACAGGGGTTGCTATTGGCATTCTGTCGGAGTAGATACAGAAATATTGGGCCAGGTGGATGAGAGATGTGACTCAGTCTGAGGCAGCTACACTTTTTCCTATGACGGAAAGGGCATGGAGATATCTGTCTTTTCTCATTCCTATTCTTAACCACCTCATCTGTGACTGAAGTCCATGCCTCAGTGAAGTAGTAGAAGGTCAATGGAACTCAATGGAGGCATTAAGAACTAAGCCTGCCATTGCCAACCCAGGGATCTGTTTCCTTCAAATGTTGGAGTGTGACAAGAGGGTGGATATAATGCTAGGTAATGGCTTCTTATTGGTGCTTGCTTGCTTGCAGGAAGCTCTGGACTGGGCCATGAGAAACCAGCTGTGGGGCCATGCTCTCTTTCTGTCAAGCAAGATGGACCCAAGGACCTACAGTTTAGTTCTGAATAGGTGGGTAGGACCACTGCTTGAAATGCTCACCATTTGTTCACCGTTCCCAGCATTTCAGTGCTTCTCTTGTTTACTAACTGGTTTTGTCTGTTTTGTCTCAGGTTCACTAGCACGCTGGCCGTCAATGATCCTCTGCAGACACTTTTCCAGCTCATGTCTGGGAGGATACCCCAAGCATCTCAGGTACTGAATTCAGAATAAAGTGTATTATTTAGTGACTGGCAAGCAGCCCTTCAGGATGAGCCTATCATGGCTGGTTACCTGGAGGACAGTAAAGAAGAATTGGCAGCCAGAGTGGAAGGTTAAACCAAGGCGCCATATCAGAAAAACAGCTTGATAGGATCTGGTGCCATCCTCTTGGCCCCCTGTATCAAATTTAACTAATTTATGAGGCCATAAAAATCTCCAGCAAGCATGCAAAGAATGAGGAAGTATTTCATCAGTGTCACAAATGGTCGGTGAAGGGACAGCTCCCCTGGTAGCCAGAAGACCCTCAAGAAAAGCTGGAATGTTAAATTGCCTCTGTGTCTGTCTATATATGTTGTGTGTCTATGACATTGAATGTTTGCCATGTATATGTATATTGTAATTCATCCTGAGTCCCCTGCGGGGTGAGAAGGGTGGAATACAAATATTGCAAATAAATAAATAAATCAGTTCTTGTGGGTTTTTTTGGGCTATATGGCCATGTTCTAGAGGCATTTCTCCTGACGTTTCGCCTGCATCTATGGCAAGCATCCTCAGAGGTGAGGTCTATCTGTAGTTACTTTCTGAGCACAAAACAGAGGACTGAGCTGCTTTTGCTGGATACAGATCTTTTGATTCGGATACAGTCAAGTTGGAAAACTCTAGATGTGGGTGGTGATATCAGCAGGAGGAGTCTTCTGTTCTGTTAACATGTTTTTTGCTCCATTATTACATGTTCTCAACTCCAGAGAACTTGATCATGTGGAGGCCTCCGTGCTGAATTTATTTTTGAAAGGGAAAAATGACTGTGCTTGACAACAGGGTTTTCCAGTATCAAACACTCTCTCTGTTATCAGGGCCAGGACTGCTGAGGGAAGTTCCACCAAGGCACAAAGTTAATGATTGGTTGTTGATGCCATTCCATGTGGTAGTATCTCTACTGGATGATGCCATGGTTACCGAGATAATCAGTATACCCATAGAAGTTCTTTTTGAAGGCCTTGAGCTCTCTCTTGACCTTCAAGGTTGAACATTCTCTGCTGAATTTGTGAACTTAAGTAAGGTGATACATATGTCAATCAATGTCATATGAAGACATTTTCCTGATTTCTTTCCACATTTGGAGATTTATTTTCCTGAGTACTGCATCTGTCAGCAGAAGTGGTGTAAAGTATTAGTGTTTTCTGCATTGTATGCCTCACATTTTCCCATTCTCCAACCCTTTCCTCTTTTACTACAGTGCTGTGGGGATGGGAAATGGGGTGACTGGAGACTCCATCTGGCTGTTATCCTCTCCAACCAAGTGGGAGACAAGGAATTGAATTCCAGGGCCATCATCAGCATGGGAGATACACTGGGTGAGAAGATTTATGAAGGAACCATAACTCACAGGGAGAAAGACTTGCTTTTATGCTCCAGATTTGTGTGTCCATTGCAAAATAATAATAATAATAATAATAATAATAATAATAATAATAATAATAATCTTTATTTATACTCTGCCAAAGGGGACTCAGGGCGGCTTACATGAGGCCAAGCCCAACAAAACATTACAGTAAAATAAAACCAAAACAACAGTACACACAATACAATTGAATCAATAAAAATATAATACTAGTAATAACAATACAATATTATAATTATAATTATATATTTACATTACATGTAATATTACTAATAATATTACAATATAATGGTATAGTGCAATATATTGTACTATGCTAATAATATAATATATTGTACGGAAATATATATTGTAAGCCGCTCTGAGTCCCCTTCAGGGTGAGAAGGGCGGCATATAAATGCCGTAAATAAATAAATAAATAAATAAAAACATAAGAATACAATGCAAACAGCACAAACTAAATACAATGTAAAATCAATCCCAAGGGCGGGCCACATGCACAAGTTAAAATGATAAAACTCAGGATGAGATAGGGATGAAAAGGAAGTAGGAGAGGGAGTTGTAGCCACTTTTCCTATGTTGTGGTTTCACCCACAGCTGTAATTTCATATTCATGGCTGGGCTCACATGTCTGGAATGCTAGGCTTCTGAAAAAGTCAGTCCAATATGTCTATGGCAGGAATTAGAAGGTTAATTTATTATTTATTTTATTATTTACAGCTTTTATATTCTGCCCTTCTCACCCCGCAGGGGACTCGGGGCGGATTACAATGTATACATATATATGGCAAACATTCAATGCCAATTTTGACATACAACATATACAGACATAGACAGAGGCTATTTTAACTTTTTCTGGCCACCAGGGGAGCTGTCGCTTTCATCGTCCATCTGCGACGCTGATGAAGCACTTCCGCATTCCCTGCATGCTTCCCCGCTGGAATGCTTTGCTGGAGTCTTCTTTATGGCCTCATAAATCAGTTAATTTAGCCTCCCCACACTTTTTTAAAGGTGGTACCTTGTTTTCCTACTTGACAGATGCACCTGTCTTTCGGGTTGCAAAGGTCGACAACAGGCTACACATAATTGGTTGGAAACCCACTCCAACCCCGGGCTGGCTTCGAACTCATGACCTTTTGGTCAGAATGATCTTAATGCAGCTGACACTCAGCCTGCTGTGCCACAATCCCGGTGTTAAGGTTAAGAAGGAACAGTGGGATTGAGAGAGGGAGAAAACATTGTAAATCTGAATCTCCGAATCTACCAGCCTACTTTCTGGGCTCCTGTCTGCTTCTGCCTAAGTTGCACAACTTCAACCACTTTCTCTATTTAGCAGTTCTGCTTCTTTCCTTCTTTCACTGCACGGTGTTAGTTTTACTTAGCAAAATCTCAAGAAATAGAGGAATCCCACTTATTGTAAAAGACTGCCTTGAGACTTCCTTTGCTGTTTGTTTCTTTTTTATGTATAAATCATTTTTATTAATCATACAATAAGCAAATCTACAAATAGACACTCCATACACTATCAATATAAACACATCAAACACTGAAACAGTACTGTTTTCTTCAAACTTCAAATGCCTTCAGCATAGTCTTCTCATTTCCCATCATCTTCATTGTCTACTTATAATTTCCTTAACTATAGATACATAAGTTGGTTCTGACATGAAATAAGATAGTTCCCTAAAAAGGAAAAAAAAAGTGATACCATCATCGTATATTTGACAAAATTCATTTGACATTCAAACTGTCCCAGGTTAACCAATTACAAGGTGCGGTAACATTAAATTTCGCAATCTCACAGACAAAAGATAAAAAATCAGTCTATTAATTCTAACTCATCAGTGTTCTTCTTTTCACCAGTTGTGGCCTTTTATAATAAAAGTGATCAGAGGCCAATCTTTCTGAGCTTTCTTTATATAAGTCAGTCTGTATCTATCTGTTGACCTCTTTTTCTCTTTCTACAATTTTGTTTTTGCTCAAGTTCTTCCTTGTCACTGCCTGAATGATCTTCCTCTTCTTTCCCAATAATCGAGTTTTGTATCATTCTACTTGGCTCTTCTTCTTCCCTACCGTGATCTCCCTCTATCTCTACTTCATTTTCCAGATCTTGTTTAAACATGTGGTGATAGTCTTTTGCTTGTTGAGGCATGATGATGCAGTATCTAGTTGTACAGGAAAGAGAAGATTTCCCTTTCTGTTAAAACTATTTATACAATACAGTATTTCCTTTCCTTCAAGTCCTGAAATGTCAGTGAATCCAGTTGCCTCTTTCTATCATTTCTTCTCTTTTCTGTTGCTTTTTGATCATCTAAAGAATTGTATTTCTTTTCATACCTCTCCACAATCAATAGTTAGTATTGGATCTATTGTTGATTGTTTCAAAGCCCCCTTCACTTCAGCCCAATCTTGTGGAAATTCTGGTTTTAATGAGTCGAAGTCTTTCCTCATTGCTTTACGAATCTCCTGGAATTCTTCCAGAAATCTTGATGATTCTATTGTAAATTGCAGTTCCGCTGGTCCTTTCCTCTTTACACTATTTTCCCTCATTGTTTTCACAGATGTCCTGTATTTACACTTTTTGTAGAGTTGTTCACAGTCTTATCTCAAGGCTTAGCACTCATTCTTACTGTATGAATAAATGCAGGATAGTGCATGACTTATAGTTTTCTCCTTCTTGATCACGCTCTCCCTAAATACACTGTGCACCAGACTGATTGTCTCAAAGGTAAGCTATATAAACCAACCCAAACATAGCAGAGTCCTTATCAGTTTTCAGCAGAGTTTTTACTGCACAGGCTGACTTTGTGCCACTCACTTTTTAAGAAAACTCAAACTCACACTGGAGGCTTTTAATATTGACATGTTGCTTTATGTACAGCTATATACACACCCATCGGGATCGCCTGATGTCTTATCAGTCAGTGGCATATCCAGAGATTTTATTTATTTATTTATTTCGGGCACTTCTACCCCGCCCTTCTCAACCCCCAAGGGGGGACTCAGGGCGGCTTACAACCGGCACAATTCGATGCCAACAATTCAACCGATAAAATACATAACAGCAATAGCCACAATAGTTAAAAACAATCAATTAATACAATAACAACTAAAAAGCCAGTCTAGTGGCCAAACGTTCACTGAGTTCTAAAATCCATAAGTCCATTCAGCATTACCATAGTCCTTTCCAAATTCTGGTCGTCATTACCTTGTCAGTCTGCCAGATAACCCAAAGGCCTGGTCCCATATCCATGTTTTCAGCTTCCTTCTGAAGGAGAGGAGGGATGTTGATGACCTAATTTCCCCGGGGAGTGAATTCCACAGGCGAGGGGCCACCACTGAGAAGGCCCTGTCCCTCGTCCCTACCAGCCTCACTTGTGATAGAGGCGGGGCCGAGAGCAGAGCCTCCCCAGAAGATCTTAAACTCCGAAGTGGGACATAGAAGGAGATGCGTTCGGACAGGTACACTGGGCCGGAGCCGTATAGGGTTTTATAGGTCAAAACCAGCACTTTGAATTGTGCTCAGAATTGGATCGGCAGCCAGTGGAGCTGACATAACAGAGGGGTGGTATGTTCCCTGTATGACGCTCCGGTGATTAATCTAGCTGCCGCCCGTTGGACTAACTGAAGTTTCTGAACAGTTTTCAAAGGCAACCCCACGTAGAGCGCGTTGCAGTAATCTATTCGGGATGTAACTAGAGCGTGGACCACTGTGGCCAGATCAGACTTCCCAAGGTACGGACGCAGCTGGCGCACAAGTTTTAATTGTGCAAAAGCTCTCCCGGCCACCGCCAAGATCTGGGGTTCCAGGCTCAGCGATGAGTCCAGATATCAGCAATGAATGTATGCTGAGAAGCGAGAGAGGTCATGGCAAGAGAGAGAGCACATGCTTGTTGCCCTTCTTTATACTCATTGCTTCTAGTCAATCAGGCAGGGACAACAGTGAATTATGCAATTCTCATCATGCCTGTCACATGGTCATGACTCAGCTTCTTTTGCATGTCCCTCCAGTTCCGCTCCACCTTTCAGTGGGTGTGTGACCACATGTTCATTAGAACTGTATTTTCCAACAGTATTACACAATGGGGTTACAGTCAATGCAGTCCTATCTAACAGAGCATTATCTATCTAATAAGAAAGAGGTGAAATTATAATTCATTGTGAAAAAGTTTATAGTGAAACAAAGTGTTCTTTAAAGTAAAACTGATGATCTCCAAATAGTCAAGCTGGTAGCAAGCCTCTCTCGCCAAAGCTCTTTTATTCTCCCTTTTGCAAACTGACCTCTCTGCTTCTAAATTAGTCTTATAAAGATGTGTCTTTAGCAAGTATTGTCTGTAATTAAAGCCCAATGATTTATGGCTTGCTAAGTTTCCCTCTGATGTCTCTTTGTCGGGAGACACGTCAGTTAAAAGTTTAAAAAACTTTAACTGTTATGCGATCTGTCATTCCCTAGAGCCGAACAGGAGCTTCTGAGAAACATGACTGATCTCTGGAGCATCGCGGAAGAAGCCTTTCTAATTTGTTTCTCCTTAGGACTGAATTTGGATTTTCATGGTCTTACAAGCATTTAACTATGCAAAAAAGGGGCAAAATATTGGAAGAAGAAAATATATTTTAACTTTACAGAGAAACTTGGGGCAAGAGTTTATGGCCCTGCAAGGAATCCTCTTCTTCTTTCCTGCAGTGATTCTCATGGCCTCACACATGCATAACCTGATACTCTTTTATCTTACCCAGCTGGCAAGGGGTCAATTGAAGCTGCTCACTGCTGCTATCTGATGGCAGATGTTCCTTTTGGCCACTATGGAGTTAAAACAGACCGCATGGTGTTGCTGGGCAGTAGCCAGAGGTGAGTGGAGCAGGAATACAGCTGCTTGGGGAATGGATAAGTCAACCTAATTTAAGGTGTAGTGTTTGCAGTACTGGACTGGAAGTTCCATGTTCAGGTCTCCACTGCATTGTGAAAGCTTACTGGGCAATTATATCGTTCCTTTCTCTCTGTGTGACCTACCTAAGAGAGTAAAATACTGAGGGAAAGTGCCATATATACTGCTTTAATCTGACTGGAGAAAATGATATGCATGCGATATATATTTTCATCATGGGCTATCACTGTGACTAAATATTGTATTCCAGTGGTAGAGTGGATCTGTAAGTGACTGTGAAGACTTATTCTGGATCCATACAGTTTTAACTTCAAACGGTAGTGGTGGGTCCATAAGTAACATCATTGCTTTGAACCTGACTGTGAATCTGAATCCCATCATCCCCATCAGAATCATTGACACTATCACTCTGTGATTCCAGCTGAGTCTCAACACTAGGATTCTTTGATTCTACGACCGATCTGTGGATGTAAATGATCGGTTAATTATTTTACTAAAATTTCTAGGTTTACATATTACTATATCAAGATATTTTTCAATAGCTAGCAGTTATAATAATATAAATTATAATAACACTTTATTTATACTCCGCTACCTTCTCCAAAAGGGACTCGGTGCGGCTTACATGAGACCGAGCCCAAAATACAACAATACAAGCAATAACAACAACAATATAAGCAATTTAAAACAGGAAAACAATAAAACAATAACATAAGCATTATCAAACAGGACAACACACTTTCAAAAACGATGGGTAGGTCAAATGTAATTAAAATTAAAATAATGCTGGACATGGCGAAAGAAGTGATGAGGCAGTTTGTGGAAACATACAAGCAGACCTAAAAACAATATGAAGTGCTTTGGAGGACAAAGTGCTATGGGATCGTTACTCTGGGAAGGCACACTGGAACAACCACGTCTTCAAGCTTCTCTTAATCAAATCAAATCAAATCAAATCAAATCAAAAACATTTATTTCGGTCATTGACCAGCACAGGAAATAGTGTCACGTTTCCATACAACGTGACACTTAAAGACTGCCAAGGTTGGGGCATGCCTGATGTCCTTAGGAAGTGAGTTCCAGAGTTGAGGGGCCACCACCGAAAAGGCCCTCTCTCGTTCCCACCAACTGCGCTTGCGATGCAGGTGGGAGCGTGAACAGGGCCTCTCCAGATGATCGAAGAGATCATGTGGGTACGTATACAGAGATGCAGTCACGAAGGTAGGCGGGTCCCAAACCGTTCAGGGCTTTGTAGGTGAGAACCTGCACCTTGAATTGGGTCCGGAAAATGAATGGCAGTCAGTGGAGCTCCTTAAACAGGAGGGTTGACCGCTCCCTGTAAGGAGCCCCGGTTAACAACCTGGCTGCTGCCCGTTGGACCATCTGGAATTTCTGAGCCGTTTTCAAGAGCAGCCCCACGTAGAGCGCATTACAGTAATCCAGTCTAGAGGTGACTAAGGTATGGACCACCCTGGCCAGATACGCCTTCACAAGGTACGGTCGCAGTTGGCGCACGAGTCTTAATTGTGCAAAGGCCCTCCCGGCCACCACCGATGCCTGAGCCTCAAGCGTAAGTGAAGAATCCAGGAGGACACCCAAACTGCGGACCTGTGACTTCAGGGGGAGTGCAACCCCGTCCAACACAGGTTGCCACCCTATACCCCGATCCGGTTTACAATCTACCAAAAGGACCTCTGTCTTGTCGGGATTAATCTTCAGCCTGTTTGTCCTCATCCAGACAGGCACAGTGGCCAGGCACTCGTCCAGCACCCGAGGGGCTTCCTTGGAGTTAGGTGGAAAAGAGTAGTAGAGTTGTGTGTCATCTGCGTAGAGATGGCACCCAACTCCAAAACTCCGGTTGACCTCTCCCAACGGTTTCATGTAGATGTTAAAAAGCATGGAAGACAGAATGGAACCTTGCGGGACCCCACAGGTCAAAGGCGCAGGTGTCACCCAGCTTCACCATCTGGGATCGACCCTCCAGGAAGGACCGGAGTCACGACAAAGCCGTACCTCCAAGGCCCATCCCGGGGGCAGTTGAATCTAAACTCAGGTCTAAGTTTGTTATTAAATTTGTGTAAACCAGACACAAGCAATTCTGACTTGGTTTTGGTAGACAACTTTCATGACAAATAAAATGTTGTCATGCAAGTATTCTGGAAATTTTAAAACTCAAATAAAGATGTGGAAATATAAGCCATGGAAGTAAATCCTCTGGGTTTGGTTGTGAGCAACATGAATGAGATCTGACTGTAAATGAATGTAGTTTATACAAATCCTATTATACTAAGTTCCAAGGCAGCTGCAACTTTGTAAAAAAACCCAAAGCTATTTTATGTATTTATGTATCTTGACATTTCGTGGATCTTTATCCCTATTGAATATTATGTATTACAGTCAGATACTAAATGCTGCTGTATATCATTTGTCAGATACTTTTGTATGGTGTGCTGTTGGTGGAATGCTGATGTTAACGAACAAATATTTATCTAGCTAGAGAGTATTTATCATCACAAAAAGAGTAAATTTTCAGGAGTATTTTATGGACTAGTTAGAGCTAGATTTTTTGGGAAGGATGACAGGGCTTTGATTCTGGGGTGCCACATAAATGAGCAATTCCAAAAATATAATACAAAGGGTCAGGTTTGTATCTCCGGATTTCAACATGCCCCGCTGAGGTCAGCTTCCCTTTAAGGTGAGGCATCGATGCCACAATCAATTTATTCATTCACCTTAAGAGCCATTGCTAAGGTTAAAAATCCAATTTAAGGAGCCAACAGTTCTACTTATGCTGATGGCACTCTGGCTGGATAATAAGGAAAGGATTTTAATGATTCCTTTCACCTTTACATTGTTCATTCCTCATTAGTATTACAGAGCCAAGCACTTCTTGCATCTTCAAGCAAGACATGTAACCAATCCTTTAAAGTAACTTCTGTGGAATCGTGATGTTTTTACCTGTGTGACCTTCATCTCCTGTTCTAAGGCTCAGCTAACCATAAAGCTTCAGAGACCCAATGTGGTATAGTGGTTAGGATGAACAGAAAGAACTCATTCACTGGCTCCTGGCACTGACATTTCTAAGTTTTGGCTGTGAAGATTTTGGGCAGACAGAAAGAGGTGGAAGAGAGCCGTGGCCTAATTGCAACCCCACTTTGGTTGCTGTTCCTCTTAACTGCATTCTGTTTCTAACCTATCTTGCTTCCTCCCCACCTCCACTTCCAGCCAGCAATTCTCCCACTTTGCAAGGACCGAGTGCATCCAGAAGACTGAGATCTTTGAGTACTGCCAGTTGCTGCGGCACTCCCAAGCTTTCATCCCCTCTTTCCAGGTAACAGAAGCCCTATGCATGCAACCAGCAGTTTAAAAATGAGTGAATGTCCTAGCCCCCAGAACAATGTAATGAGCTGTATCTATAAATACTTTCTCACAAATTTTGTGTTACTGGGTATGCATCAACACTATAAAATAAATGCAGTTTGACACCCTTTTTGATACCTTTTTTTGATACCTGTCCGATCGTATCTCCTGTTACAAACCATAACAAAGTTTAAGATCATCAGAGGAAGCCCTTCTCTTGATCCCACCACTCTCACAAATGTGGTTGGTGGGGACAAGGGACAGGGCCTTCTTGGCAGTGGCCCCCATCTGTGGAATTCCCTCCCTAAGGACATCAGGATGGCCACCTCCCTCCTGTCCTTTAGAAGACAATTGAAGACTTGGCTGTGGGTCTAACGCAGGGGTCCACAAACTTTTTAAGCAGTGGGCCAGGTCACAGTCCCTCAAACTGTTGGCAGGCCAAATTATAATTCGAAAAAAACATGAATTAATTCCTATGCACACTGCAAATACCTTATTTGTAGTGCAAAAACATTTAAAAACAATACAGTAATTAAAATTAAGAACAATTTTAACAAATGTAAACTTATTAGTATTTCAATGGAAAGTGTGGGTCTGCTTTTGGCTGATGAGATAGGATTATTGTTGTTATTTGTGCTTTCAAGTAGTTTCATACTTAGGTTGACCCAGAGCGAAGGCTGAGTAAATGACCTTGGAGGGCCGCATCCGGCCCCCGGGCCTTAGTTTGAGGACCCCTGGTCTAACGGATAGTGACAATTGGAAGCAAAATTAGGACATATGCGACATTGGATTTACCTGACTTGGTCTTCATTTTAACTGTCATTTTAATCTATTGTTTAATGAACTTGGTAATGTATCTGTATAATGTGTTTTAATGATTTTTTACTGTTTTAATTGTAACCCTTGTTGTTTATATGTTGACAGCATCACATGATATGTATGCGAGGCCGCCCTGAGTCCCCCTTTGGCGGGAGAAGGGCGGGGTAGAAATACATGTAATAAATAAATAAATAAATAAATAAATAAATAAATTTTAACTGACATGGTTCGGTGCTATGAAATCATTACAATCACAAGGCCTTTGGTTTTCTTTGCCAAAGTGTTCTGATGTCTCACTAAACTACAAATCTCACTAAACTACAAATCTCAGGATTCCATACCATGCAGCTTTGATACCTTTTTGATACCATTGCACCATGGCAGTTAAAGAACTTCATCACATGGAGGTCCTTAATGTGGGGAATCCATAGGGCAGTGGGGCCAATTGTGGGCAGCAGGGCAAATCCATCACCCAGTGCCCTTCATAACCTGCATCACTCGCTTGCCCATCACATGCCGGAAAGCATACTGTTCTGGCTTGCTTCTGTGCTGCCTCCAGCATTTTCAATCTGAACACAAGTAGTCTCCTGTGTTCAGAATTGCCCATTGTAGAATAGTTCGCTGACGTAGGCAGCACAGAGTCCCACCAGAAGTAGATGTGCATCATGTGATCGGATCTGTTGGGGTCCATATACACACACACACACACACACACACACACACACACACACACACATATATATATACATACATACATACATATACATACATACGACATTTATATGCCGCCCTTCTCACCCTGAAGGGGACTCAGAGTGGCTTATAAGATATATTTACATACAATATATTATATTATTAGCATAGTACAATATCAGTATTAAATATTACTATATTGTACTATACCATTATATTGTAATATTATTAGTAATATTACATGTAATATTGTAATATTATTAGTAATATTACATGTAATATAAATATATAATTATAATATCATATTATTATTAGCATTATATTGCATTACATTTTATACACACACACACACACATATGTATATATATATATGTGTGTGTGTATTCATTCATTGGATAACATAGGGAAGGGTTAACACTCATGTGGTGCTTGTTTTGCTGCCTGTACCCCTGTTCAGAAGATTTCACCTTGCTTTCTGTCCCTGTGAGAATTGGATTTTGAAAAAAAAATGACTTGTGAAAACAAGAATGGATGACAAAGCTTTGCTTGAGATATCTTTTCCTCATGATAATTCTTTTAGGAGTGAATTTCCCTTCCTCGAGGTAGATTTCTCTTACTTTGTGTTATCTCAGCCCCATTCTTAACTATGATTTGTTTGTAAGTTGGATATTTGTAACTTGGGAACTGCCTGTATTGTTGCTGGGCTTGATCCACAGTGGTGTGAAGCAACCTCTGCCTTACCAGTTGAGACAGCTACTGGGGGACAGGAAAATAGATTTTTATTTATTTACATTTCTAACCCGCCCTTCTTAACCCTCGTGGGGGGACTCAGAGCGGCTAACAATGGCAACAATTTGATGCCGCAATATCACAGTATAACAACAATATAAAACCATAAATACACCGTAGATTAAAAACAATAACTTTACTAATAGTCATATAGCCATTTCCATTATCATAACATCATATGGTCCAGTTCAATGTCCAAAGTGCAATTGTGCCTGCTAGCCAAAAGATAAAGGTGGAAATTGATAACTGAAATACTTACAAAGATTTTAAAAGTTTTGGCTCTTCACCACATGTGTGGGAGCATCTCTGAGATGCTCCTCAACTGACACTGGTTACTCAGTAACTTCCACCTATGTAGTCATACGAGTATCGCTCGATTATGTAAATATATACTTAGTCTGCTCTCTCAAGGCAAGTTTCCCAGTTTGTTATTTGAGATGAAATGGAAGAGAATCAAGACTTACCTAGGATATGTAAGTGGAACACCCTCCCTGTAGACATCAGACAGGCGCCCTCCCTTATGACATTCCGCAAGAGCCTAAAGACGTGGTTGTTTGAGAAGGCGTTTGACTAAGTGCTACAACAAATTGGCAATGATGAGTGGAACGGAATATGGATAATGAGATTGGATTGTGATTCTATGATGAGACGTCGCGAATGATTTAGAGTAATGGTATTATTAATAGTGATGTTGTTATTGTTGTTTATGATATTGCTTTTATTGTAAATTGTCTTTTTATATGTTGTACACTGCCGTGAGTCGCCCTAGGGCTGAGAACGGCGGTCAACAAATGCAGTAAATAAATAAATAAATAAATAAATAAATAAATATTTCTTAATTATGGTTGAGTCTTAGATCTTGTACTGAGAATTAACAAAACAATTGAACAATTTGAGTATTGAGAATTTTTTTCTCATACATGTTCCCAATGATTCACACCACAAGGAGTGGCCAGTATTTTTATTCCCAAACATATGCTAGGGGCGTCTGGTTTCAAACCTCTTTGCCACTAGAGTACTGTTTCTAATGTTATATTCCTCATTGTAATTTTGTACATTTTTGCAGATGTTTTATTCCTCATCTGTAGAAAGTGTTTCTTTGACAGATCCTAATATTCTTTTTCAGGTATATAAATTCATGTATGCATCTCAGCTAGTGGACTATGGCCTCACTGCCCTGGCCCTACATTACTGTGAAGCTGTAGGAATGGCACTCCTTGCCCAGAACCAGAACAAGTACCCTGTCCTGATAGAACAAGTCATCAAGGTGGGTGATGGATGAGTGAAGCTAGAGACAAGACCATCTCTTCCAGGTGTACTGCTTAGTATATGTTGGGATCCTCCTAAAGATTGATCCATGAGATTCAGGTGTCTTTTCATAATGTAATTATGAAAAATCACACTTGGTAGAGATGGGACCAAAAGATATCACATTTTGTTGTGAAAAGTGTATGTGTTTGTTGGCACATTGGATTGTTCAAACTGGGTAGATGATGGAAGCATACTGTTATTGATGTGTAATTGCCTGTCACTTGCCACTACTTGAGTGAAGTTCTAATTGATTTGGCCCCAATTTCTACTTGATAAATTTTGAAATTTGATAACATTAACTCGGTTCCATTGCCCACTAAATATCAGAATAAGACGTTGCAAACAAATTAGGAATTTCTTTGGTCAACGGTTGGGAGTCATTACAAGAGGACAAAACTCTAGAAGTGGGTGTCATTTTCCCCCTCAAATGTCATTAGACTTCTCGCAGCCCTAGCCACCATAATGGATGGTGAGGAATGCTGGGAGTTGTAGTTCAAGAATTCCTAGAGTGATGCATGATTCCCAACCCATATGAAACACATGCATCATCCACACTTGTTAAGGAGTTCTTTCTGCAGAGATTTCAGGCTGCCATATACAATCCAGATAATCTGCTTTGAACTGGATTATATGGCAACGTAGATTCATAATCCAGTTCTAAGCAAGTAAAGTGGATTATCCGATTTGATAATCTGGATAATATCGCAGTGTGGATCCAGCCTTTGTCTAAAGCAGTGGAATTCTTAACTGATAGTGATGCTGGCTGTGATTTCAGGGAATTGTAGTCCAAAACACCTGGAGGATCAAAGTTTGGAAAACACAGCTCTAAACAAAGAAACTTACAGATTGGCACATTCTGAATTGATTATCTATTGTTAGTGGCCTTAAATGCTGTAGACCACGGTATGCTTCAGATATGCCTTGAACGAATGGGACTTGGAGGCACTGTTTTACAGTTGCTCCATCCTTCCTGGAGCATCGCTTTCAGAAGGTGTCGTTGGGGGATACCTGCTCAGCTCCGCAGCCTTTGTTATGTGTGGTCCTGCAGAGTTTAGTATTGTCCCCCATGTTGTTTAACATCTGCATGAAGCTGCTGAGAGAGAGCATTCGGAGTTTTGGAGTTTGATATCATCTGTATGCAGATGATGTCCAACTCTATCACTCCTTTCCACCTGCTGCTAAGGAGGCTGTTCAGGTCCTGAACTGGTGCTTGGCAGCTATGATGGTCTGGATGAGGGTGAACAAATTGAAATTGAATCCAGCCAAGACAGAGGTCCTCCTGGTCAATCAAAAACACAGGTTTGCAGCTTGGGTGTTCTCCTTGATTCATCACTGAGCCTGGAACCCCATGGGTCTCGGCGGTGGCCAGGGGAGCCTTCTCATAATTAAAACTTATACACCAGCTGCACCTGTACCTTGAAAAGCCAGACTTGGCCATGGTGGTCCATGCTCTTTTTTTTTACAACGCGCTCTACATTTGGCTGCCATTGAAAACTGTTAGGAAGGTTCAAGTAGTCCAACGGGCATTGGAGCTGAGTACAGGGAGTGCACAACTCCCCTGTTACGCCAGCTCCACTGGCTGCCAGTCTGCTACCGAGTACAATTCAAAGTGCTGGCTTTGGCCTATAAAGCCCTAAACGGTACTGGCCCATCTTACCTGTCCGAATGTATCTCCCTCCCTGGAGGATCGCTTTCAGAAGATGTCGTTGGGGGACACCTGCTTGGCCCTGGAACCTTTGTTCTCTGTGGTCCTGCAGAGTTTAGTATTGTCCCCTACATGCTGTGTAACATCTACATGAACCACCTCAGAGGATAAGATTATCTGGGGAGGCCTTGCTCTTGGTCCCACCTCCTTCGCAAGTGCGGTTGATAGGGACGACACATAGGGCCTTCTCTATCTATATCTATGACTGGATGGCTTACTTACTATACAGAAAGTAAAGACTTTCTGTATATATTTCAGATTTCAATATTAATGTAAAAATACGTAGTATGATTTTACATAGGATTTGTTTTCTTGCCCTGGTGAAGGGAGTTGGAGTGGGTGGCCCTAAGTATTTTCTGTTACTCCTGGGGGTTCTGTGTGGGAAGTTTGCCCCAATTCTGTCATTCGTGGGGTTCAGAATGCTCTTTGATTGTAGGTGAACTATAAATCCCAGTAACTACAACTCCCAAATGTCAAGGTCTATTTCCCCCAAATGCCATCTGTGTTCACATTTGGGCATATGGAATATTTGTGCCATGTTTGGTCCAGAGCCATCATTGTTTGAGTCCACAGTGCTCTCTGGATGTACGTGAACTACAACTCCCAATCTCAAGGTCAATGCCCACCAAACCCTTCTAGTGTTTTCTGTTGGTCATGGGAGTCCTGTGTGCCATGTTTGGTTCAATTCCATCATTGGTGGAGTTCAGAATGCTCTTGATTATAGGTGATCTATAAATCCCAGTAACTAAAACTCCAAAATGTCAAGGTCTATTTCCCCCAAACGCCATCTGTGTACACATTTGGGCATATGGAATATTTGTGCCAGGTTTGGTCCAGATCCATCATTGCTTGAGTCCCCAGTGCTCTCTGGATGTAAGTGACCTACAACTCCGAAACTCAAGGTCAATGCCCACCAAACCCTTCTAGTGTTTTCTAGTTGGTCATGGGAGTCCTGTGTGCCACGTTTGGTTCAATTCCATCATTGGTGGGGTGCAGAATGCTCTTTGATTGTCGGTTAACTATAAATCCCAGCAATTACAACACCCAAATGACAAAATCAGGTTTTGAGTGATGGTCACTCCTTGGGTTAGTAGGTGTCTTGTGGCCAAATTTGGCGGCAATTTGTCCAGTGGTTTTTGAGTTATGTTAATCCCACAAACGAACATTACATTTTTATTTATATAGATGTAGAAGGGGCCAGAGTTTCCAATCTTTCATGAACACGACTAAGGATTTTTCTTTAATTAGAATAGAAAGTTTATCCATCTTTGCCAAGTCATTAAGTTTAGCAATCAGTCTTCTTTAGTAGAAATCAAATCACGTTCCCATTTTCTGCATAAAGTATTCTAACATCTGTTACCATATATTGAAGAATTCCTCTTCTTGTTGCTCTCCCATCAATCCCAGGAGAAAAAGTCCAGGCTTTAGTTGTAGATTTATCTTCAAAACCTTTTGCAGTGTAGTATGTATTTAAATCCAGTATTTCTTGGCTTTTTTGTAAGTCTACCGCATTTGATAAAAGAACCTTTCTTGCTTCTTATATTTTCAACATATATTTGATGTTCCTTTATATATCTTTGACACATTTTTCTGGTAACAGATACTGATGAGATGTCATTTTGTAAGAATTCTTCTTCAGATCATAGAATGAAGTCAATTTCAGACTCTTTGACTGCAGCGTCTCCCACTGCTCCATCTGTACGTTAGGACGAAAGTTCCTAGCACATTTTATCATCTAATCTTTCACCAATTCATTTTCCATCTCAACTCTTAGGAAAAGTTTGTACCTTTTACTGATTATCTCTGTGACATAGGCTTAGGAGAAAAGACTTAACCCTTCTCCCTGAACAGTCTGTTAGATAGATAGATAGATAGATAGATAGATAGATAGATAGATAGATAGATAGGCTCTTCCCATACCTCTTATCATACCAAACATGGATTTAGCTCTCCCTGTAGCTGTTATCATACCAAACATAGATTTAGCACTGAGTTTAGAAAAGTTACATTTGTGGACTGCAATTTCCAGTCAACATGTAAGATAAAGTCATAGTTAGTTATCTGTCTCTCCAAACTGGCAATGAATTGGAAAAGCAAGGTGAATATTCTGTAAAAGACTAGCGGTCCCCTGCCACGCGTTGCTGTGGCCTAGTCTGGTGATCTGGAAAATAAAGTAATGAGAAAGTGTTGGTTTCTAATATATGTAATGTCTTTATGCTTGTGGGTAAACAGTATTTCTTGATGTTTCTTTGTCAGTGTTGATGTGGAGAGTGTCTGATTTTCTTACTCTGGAACATGCAACATATAATTGTCCTTCTTCAAGGGTCCCTTTCAAATCTATGATACTATATTTCTCTGTGTGTGAATCATATCTAGCTATATTTATGGCTGGATGGCTCTTTGTCAGGAAGGCTTTGATTACGTTTTCTTGCCCTGGTGAAGGGAGTTGGACTGGATGGCCTTGAGTATTTTCTATTGGTCATGGGGGTTCTGTGTGGGAAGTTTGGCCCAATTCTGTTGTTGGTGGGGTTCAGAACACTCTTTGATTATAGGTGAACTATAAATCCCAGTAACTACAACTCTCAAATGTCAAGGTCTATTTCTCCCAAACTCCATCTATGTTCACATTTGGGCATATGGAATATTCGTGCCAAGTTTGGTCAAGATCCATCATTGTTTAAGTCCATGGTAGTCTCTGGATGTAGGTGAACTACAACACCCCAATTTCAAGGTCAATGTTCACCAAACCCTTCTAGAGTTGGTCATGGAAGTCCTGTATGCCCCAGTTGGTTCAATTCTATCATACTATTTGATTGTAGGTGGACTATAAATCCCAGCAACTACAACTCCCTATCTATCTATCTATCTATCTATCTATCTATCTATCTATCTATCTATATCTATGGCTGGATAGCCTATAAAGCCCTAAACGGTTCCGGCCCTATTTACCTCTCCGAACGCATCTCCATCTATGAACCGACCAGGACATTAAGATCGTCTGGGGAGGCCCTGCTCTCGGTCCCGCCTGCGTCACATGCGGCTGGCGGGCACGAGAGACAGGGCCTTCTCGGTGGTGGCCCCTCGGCTATGGAATGCGTTACCGGTGGACATCAGGCAGGCCCCTTCGTTACTGGTGTTTCGGAGGAGGGTGAAGACGTGGCTCTACGAGCAGGCTTTTGGCAATTAACTCAATAATGACGGCATCGGACAAGGAATGGAAAAAGGATTTTGAGATCGGAATCTGATTCTAA